TTGATTGTGTAAACTTTTACTTTATTTCGCATGTAAATGTCAGTAGCCTAATGTCCCCAGGTCGTAATTGTTTTATTTATGAAAATAGCTGTTTACGCGATATTTCATGTGATTATCACGTTTTGATCACGCGCATATATAACCGTTTCATCGTTTCAGCAATCATCTGCATCCTCAATATATCTTTTGTAATCTCATACTAATTATTTCTACGCTCAGCAACCAACGCATTAATATTCATATCGGTTATACGCCAACGTTACCAGCGGTCGTGCGTTCGTTATCTCAGCCGACCCTATGCTGAAGGGTATCAGGAAGATGACAATCGGTAGCCTCGGCTCCGTTGGATCTTCACCCTCTTCAAGTCACTGTTCGAACGCTGATAATGAGAAACAAAGTTTGTTTCAGTATTCACTCCTTCCGAACATCTCCACATTATTCTGCTTGACCCCCTTCCATCCATTAATTATGGTAACACGCGCTTTGGTGAATTTCACTCTCACTTTTTCTGTTCCTTTTACAGTCACCTTACATTCAAGCAGTTTTCGTGGATGTATATGTTATTTTTAGGTCACGAATATGGTACTTTCAAGAAAAAATACAAACTTGGTCCAGAACTCGGTCGAGGGGGCTTTGGTACGGTCTATTCGGGTTTTCGTATCTCGGATGGCTTGCCAGTTGCTGTGAAATTTGTTTCGAGGAATAATGTTACTGATTGGAAGAAAGTATGTGTAATGATAGATTTGTTTTGTATTCATGTGTCCAATTAATGATTGTCATTGTGGCCTCGTAGTACGAGCTGAGTTATATATATAATCATTATAGGTTTCCAATCACGCTAAGGAGTTGCCTCTGGAAATAGTTCTTCTCACTGAGTGCACAGGTATACCGGGCGTCATCCAAATGTTCGATTGGTTCGAGCGGTCCGATGGATTCTTGATCGTTATGGAACGACCGTCGCCGTGCCAGGATTTGTTCGATTATATATCTGAGCGTGGACCTCTTGAAGAAGACTTAGCAAAGGCTTTCTTTAAACAGGTATTTTGCCTGTTGGAAACACTCATCTCATTGAGTTTGCTTTTCGTGAAGTGGAATATTTACGATGGATCTGAGCACCGTTGCAATTTATGGTTTATGACATGATTTTAAGTCAGTGTTTACTTGATATTTATGATATTATTTGTTCAGGTTCTGGATACGGCAATTGCGTGTGCTAACGTTAGCGTGGTGCATCGTGATATTAAAGATGAAAATCTTATAGTGGACTTGAAATCTGGACGTATAAAACTTGTTGACTTTGGTTCGGGTGCATTTTCGAAGAATCACGGTGAAATGTATACAGATTTTGAAGGTTTGTTTCTGGCAATCAGTTCTGTGCAGTCTTTTCGGAATGCAGCATTAATCTAGAAATATGGTATCTATTAGGTCTCAACTGACAGCTTCTTATACTGGCGTACTTCATTCCGTATTGAATTTTGGAGCTTGACCGCTATCAGTTAACTTTATTTATCACAGCCTGTTTGCCCTACTGTTTGTCATTCATGCGAACGAAAATTAGATTCATGTATTTGGTCGTTACTAATTCTATTTTCCATTGGAATGCTGTTGCGTTATTGATGGAATGAAGGAGGCAAACTGGTTCGCTTATTGTTGTAGTCACGCGATAGTAGGCAGAGGTGGAACGTATATGATTTGACGATTACATGAACGATCATTTTATGATTGCTTGCTCTCTTCATTGTCTTTTTTATTCATGTGTGTTTGCACGAATCTCGTTCATTATTGTCCCTGCAGCACTTTACCTATTCCATGGTTTCTTTGCTCAACACACATTTGCCATCACCGAGTACCATACGTTTAATATTATTTGCTCTTCAAAACGACAATCTGTTCGTGCAGTTCAATTCTCATCTTGAAGCTGCCACATTATCATATTCTATGCGAATTTAGTTTCTAAATTTGCAAGCCAATCCTTGTTGATCATATACTTCAAAATTTAAACTTCTGTATGGGCGTGCCTGGTTGTTCTTCATCATTTCGTTAATATCATACAGTAAAATTAATTTTTGCAAGCAAATCTTTAACTAATTTCATTTTTGTATGTGCCATCATTTAAAAAGAAACTGACCAGGAGTCCAGATAAATAGTAATAGAATGAGCAAATGCGCTTCTATTCTTGTACTACTCATGAAGTTGTTCCCTTAATGCCACACTGACATGTCCTTAAAGTTTGTTTGATGTTAGAAATTTTAATGTACGCGTTCTTCCATAAATTTTAAGATGTCCATTGAGTATGGTGAAGTGGTTAGGATGTTCTTAACAGAGTAGATGGATGGATGTGAGAAGCGTGAAGCACGTCATTTGCCAAAAAAAATAATTTTGCTGAAATTATTGTATGCTCGTTTTAATATTACGTTGGTGTAGGTCAAGTGTCTCATGTCCGAGACAACTTCGGAATGCGCCGTTTTTAATGTACCAGAATTAATCCTTGCTCCCTGAATGGTTAAGCTGTTGTAGGACGAGACCCCCCACAACGTAACATCTGAGTAAGTGTGATCTGCATGCTCGTCTCTCGCTGTTACATCGCATTCATCCTTAGTCTGTTCCTTTCTCCCACAATTTGTTACTGCTAGTAGGTAAGTAGAGTATTGGCGTTTACACATCATTGAACATTGTTTGGTCATTTTGTTATATGAGCTTAACTGACTGATTTGAACTAATAATTTTAATGAACATGACGATTAAGTAGACGCCACATTGCCTGTGCGCTTGCATCTAACAATAAGTGCTCTTTCCATCATACAGGCAGAGGCAATCAATTATTAAACATTAGCGCGAAATTCTCGTTTCTTTTGATCGCTTAAGGTCGTCCTGACCGTTTCTCGGTTGGTCTCCTCTTTTGATGTAAATAAAACCATGGACGTTAAATTGATCTTCCTAATTATCGCTTTAGCAATCTATCTTGTGGTGAAGATAAATGTTACTTCGTGACTCTTCTAAGTTTTCATGCCCCATTGAAAGTGGTATGGCGAAACAGAGTTGTCTAGAGGTCTTCAGTTTTATGAAAATATCCTAATGAAAGTAAGAAAACACCTCATTACGATCATTCGTTATTGACAAATCAAAAAGAACAATTCGACAATGCGTTTCAAATCACAGCTGTAAACCAGTGAATGATAAGACTTATTGAAACCATAACGATAGGCATGTAAATAATTCTACAGCTAAGCAACAACGAATATTACTTGTCATAAAGATTTTCTATGATTAAACACAGTCGAGTAGCAACGTCACTAAATGGGAGTTTAAATGTTTAGAACCACAGGTATCACGCAGCTATTGATAAACCAATCGCTCAATGTTCCAACAATAAATTGATGTAAATCAGTGTTATTGGTATTATACTTAAAGTATATTTACTTGAGGCTTTCGTGTACTTTTCTTCAGGAGGGGTCGCGTGTAGGCAAGGAAATTGGGCATGAGTGAAGAAAAGTCAAACTGCACGTTCAAGATTTGGGGGTGTATAACGTAAATGTAAGGAATGTAATGAAAATTGGAATAAACTTTACTTTTACGTTTTCGCAAAATTATTAGTAACTGATTAATGTCACGCTAATTAATGAAAATACTTCCTATTGCTAATCACTTTTGATTCTCTACGAAATATGCGTGAATAATGGTTAATTTTTCTTCAACATTCGTGTAAGTAAACATCTGAGAAATTTTGAATATAATAGTCGGGTTGGATTGAAGCGCTAAACTCTCACTAAGGGTGAAGTATATGTGCTTTTGTAAACGGAAATTTTAGTGAACTTAAAGTGCGCTTTAAGAAATTTTTGAGGTACGAAGTATAGGTGAGGTGAATTTTAATAAAAAGGGTTTGTGAAGTTAGTTTATACTTTCAGAACTTGAAATAGATTTGGACGTCGAATGAGTTTAACGAAATTCTTCATTCAATTTCACGCCGTACGGTCATCCTATAGCTAATATTGTGTAATTCATAGAAAGAAAATTCCTCCATCGAAGTTAAACAGTCCTTCTGGATGTTTGAAATTAAGTCTTTGTCTGATTCGCATTTTATCAAGCATCTTTTCTCATGTTCTTCTCTGCATAACGAATGAACAGAACAGTTGTTTGAGCAAATGTCGAACGATTATCTTCAGGGACACGCGTGTATAGCCCTCCCGAGTGGATTCTTCAGTCGAAATATGACGGTATGAAAGCAACGGTTTGGTCTTTGGGCATTCTGTTGTATGATATGGTGTCTGGCGATATCCCATTTCATCGCGATGACGAGATAATTCGTCGAACTCCAATTATTTGGCGAACGAAGCTGAGCCGAGGTTTGCGTCAAACATTTTTTGTTCATATACACATTTTTGGTGGCAAATAAAAGTTGAATGATTGTGTTATTAAAGAGTTATTTCGATATAACACAAGCCAATTTGCAGCATGTGAGCATTTGATCCAGCAGTGTTTAATGTTCGATGCGAACGAACGTTATGATCTCGAAGAGATAGTGAATCATCCTTGGTTGCGTGCTGGTGACATTCGTTTGTCGTTAACACCAGCCGAATTGAATGCCGGTCGACACAAACTCTCCAGTGTACCAGCCAAACTTGAAACGCATGCGTTTCCACATCCAGCATCTCGTCATCCGCTTGGTGGACAGCGAGCTACTGATCGTCCAGCAACAAATGGCGTCACTTGTTCAATTATGTCGTCGGCATGCAGCATGTTTTCAAGTGGTTCAACTGTTGCTGTCGGTAAGCAGTATTCATCACATGCACATCATCCTGGTTGTCGTGCAGCTGTCGGTTGTTCATTGAGCCCTTGTTCAATGCCTTTGACGTGTTCGAGTGCGTTCAGTTCCAGCTCAAGTTCAGGTTACGGAACGGCTTCTTCGCCACCAGGGGGCTCGCTCATGTTGGGAAGTTATTAAGTCTGTTTCTAGCGATGCTTCGAAAATGATGCGACCAAATCAAGATTGAGCACTCTCAGTTGTTTTGAGCCAATGAGGAAAGTTTTGTTTAATAGATAAACAATCGTGATTTGTCCATTTCCCGTACGCATATGACTTTGCTTTTTCGGGTTACTCAATATTCGCCTTTCAGACTTCTTTCATGGGTTTCGTTTGTTGTAATGTTGATATTTATATTAAGAAACTGTTTCTAAGGTAAGATATGTATTGTTTCGATCGGTTGTCTATTGTTTAATGTTTGCGTGTATCATCTCAACGAGAATTCTTGCTGTTTATGTCATCTGCTGAGGTCATTCAGCGAATGGTGGATGGTTAACTTCTAAAACTGTTCTAGTAATCCATTTATGACGCATGTAAGTGACAGTATGTTGAAGTTCATGAACGAACTGAACTTGAGTGAGTTTCGAAATAAAATTGACTTGTTCCAGTATTGTTGGTTTTTATTCAAATTCGTGAGCAACGAAATGGAATTTACGGTAAAGAAAAAATTCGCAACTGGTGAAATAATACCTTCATAATTAGCATTCGTTGATGAGTTTGTTAGTGTTGTTATTATTCTTTGTTCGTCTAATCTCAGTGATCTATGCTCACTAGAGCATTGTCTTGCTTTTAAAATGTTCCTCGGACACTAGTTCTAGTGGCCACTCGATAATTTATTCGCTATTAATTTATCATTGATCAGTTTTATATTCATTCATTTGGTACTGAACTTGGACTGTATTATTTATCTCGTATATTCAGCTTAACTTATTCCTGGTTGCGTTTAGTGCTGCCGACTATTATTTATTATATCTAGCAACAAATTGACTTCTTCAAAGATTATTTCTTAAATTATTTATTCTATCCAGATGTGACATATATTCTTGATTTTTTCTCATGCGAACACCACGTTAGCAATGACCACTTGCCGGTTAACGAGGATGTCTAAATGGTGTTCGTAGCAATTTTGTACATAATGCGTTTCGTTTCATTCACGTTGCTTGTGTATACATCATTCAGTTTTATGTTATCATATCGAAATTGAATTCTGTAATGATTTAGCCGAAGATTTATTTATTTATTTATCTCTGTGTAATATAAACATAATTTATTCTTGCATTTATTCTTTTCAAGCTACATCGCCAATTAGACATGACTGTTGACACTTCAGATCGTGCTTTAGTTTCTTTGTGATATATACTTTTTTTTTCAAGTCATATCACTAGTTTATTCAGAAGAAATTAGGATCGTAATCGTTACAAACTAAAGCACAGGAATGTAGACAGGAAATAAAAGGAACAAATAAAATAAGACAGAATGGCACACTTTTAGAGTTTACCCTCGTGGAGCGACTGGAGTTGATGCAGTCCTTTTGAATGAAATGTTGGCTAGTGCATTTGATGTGAATGAACTCCGTGAATTTGTATTTGCTTGAGGTAAAGTTGAACTTCCTTTTGCAAGGTCGTTGCTTCCTGGAAGGATTTTGTCAGGTCTTGTAATATTCATGTGAATTTGTTAGATTTGAACGAAGTTTATCTTCCCAACGAGTTATGTTTTTGATACAATGCAGTCTTCATCAAGAATTCTGGAGTGAATAGTAAGAAGTGACCGATCAGTTTTCCCCACAGAAGAGACGAAGTAAAATCTAATATCAATATATCCGTCCCTTTCTCATACGAGAGACATTCTGAAGTGAATCAAATATGATGTCCCGAGGACTCACCAGGAATCAAAGGTACATATCATCCGGCGCCCAAGTTCGGAGATGACATTTATTTTGGCGTTTGTTCTTTAAATATAGCCCAATTTAATCTTTAGTTCTGTGACAAGTCAACGCTAAGTTTATAAGGCAAAAATTTTTAGTGAATTTGAAGCCAAAACAATATGAAAAATTTGAATGCCTAGTGGATGATTGGTGTATAGCGCAAACGCGTACTACAGTTTGATTCGGTTTCATGCAGTCATCTGTCAGCACCACCCTGCAACCAACTTTATTAATATTTGATAAGGGCATCGGTTACCCATCACATGTTTGTGATTTGAATGCTGACATTGGTCATCCAGCCGATGAATTAAGGTGTGATCTCCACTTTCAAAGCACTGTATCTTCGAGTAACTATTTCCCAAGCAGTTTTGGCATTGAATGATGGAACAAACCCGGTATCAGACAACTTCTGGGATTCGTTCGGTATCACTGATTGTATCAGAAATCACAGGATCATGTTAACGAATAATGTATGGGTACAGCGTGGAAAATATTTTGAGATATCATGAGATTAATTCAAATGAAGAAAGAGGAGACGAGGGCTCACTTCCTGATTACGATTGCCTGTAGAGGGTTGACTAGAGCTTATTGTGAAGGTTTCAATACTCACTCCAATTACGATTTCAGTCCCCCATGATGGAATGTAACGTGGTGGGCCGGCTGCTCGAAACTTCGTATGAGACGAACAATTTTCTGACAGTAATCTCAATTGTACCATCATAATATAGTATAGCACATCTGATGATGTGTCATGCATGAAAAATCCATTTATTCATGCATTACTGTACTTAAACGACATTAAAAATAATATCTCGTTCTGCATTACCGCATGCCCCTCCTTCGCCATTGCAACGGTTTACCTTTTCCATCACTCGCAAAAGCACTATCTTTTATAATAAAGATTCATTTTAAGTTACAATTACATGATGAATTTTGGTGATGAAAACTACATGATGAATTACTATTAACTAGAATAACGTGAAAACAGTTACAACTAAACGTTATTCCCTCAAAAAACAACTAACGGATGCGACTGTCATTCTGAATGAACACCACATTTTCAAATGTTGCTCGTACTCTAAACTCTAGGACCAATCCATCACAGAGATTATTCACATTTTACGCCACCAATAAAAGTTTATGCTTAGAGGATTTGAGTCCGATTGAACGAATCAGTTCATTCCGAATTCATTAGTACGAGAAACCGTGCATCAGTTTCTGACAGAACTGTTGGGACGAAACGGAAATCCTCTGTTCTTCAATGATGCTGGTTACTAGAACCCGAAACTCTCTGTTTTCCTTCAATCATCACGGTCAAAAGCTGTCAACTGCTTGCGTGAACAATCTTCTCCCACCCAAAATAATCTCCGTTTTGCACTGAGAACGCCAAAAAACCACGTTTCCAACCCTAATTACCGCAAGTTTTATCGTGTCATTTTTCTGACTGAGGGAACAGGATAGAACAGTTTAGAACAGTCTAGCACAATTTAAGCAGATAGAATAGAATAGAGTCGTTTTGGAGCGAACTTTCTCAGTTTGTAGGGAATTATTTTCTCTTTGCAATGGACTACTTGGCATTGGCCGATGGGACTTCCGTTCCGGCACTTTTTCCACTTCAATTGCCCAAAAAGGCACTATTTTTTATAATGAAGGTTTATTTTAAGTTACAATTCCGAGAACTACATGATGTATCTTACTGAAACTTCCTCATTTTGGAGTGAACTGAATTCTCTTTCCAATATATTACTTGGCAGTGGCCGATGGAATTTCTGTTCCGGCACTACATGGAATTCAATTGATCACATCAGTTATATCTGACTGAGACTTCCATGGCTAAAATTTTCACTGCTTCAGAAATGAGCCAATTCTTTTAGTGAGTCTTTGTCGGTTCGTAGAATATTTATCTCTCTTGTCAATGAGACCTCATGCATACGTTCAGGTCAGGTGTAGCATTGAAGTACGTCAAATTCCTCAGCCTCATCGAAAAATTAATTCGCCTTGTAGGATCGCTTTTTCTCTGTGCTCTGCCTAACCGCGTCGCTTCAAAAGTGCATTTTGGCTTCTGTTGCTAAAGCCTTCCTAACGTTCATCTTTCTATAGCTCTTTGTGTTGTTATTAAGTGTTATTCTTCTCACGTCCACGTTTACTGGTGTATAGTATTGCAATGCTATCAAAGAGCTGATCGCGGAGAGATTTATCTGTTTCCTCTCTCAGCACATCCTTAATCGAGCTGAACACCTTCCATCCAGATCTTATCCTTCTTTCAATTTCCACTTTCACATCTCGGCTCATATTTATCATTTGCACTTTAACGACTGGCTCGAGTCGTTATTCAATGGTTTTATTCAGTTACCCTCAAACTCAAATTTGAATAATTAAACCACCGATTCAAAGACAATTAAATAATCGATTCGTGGATTCAATAGAACAATACATTCGAACGGAGTTAAATGATAATGATAATAATCGTTATAATAGAAACAATAATGCCTAGTGAGAATATCCTTCAAATTCTAATTACTTATTTCAAACTATCCTTAGCCAGTAATAATGTTAACAATAAATAACACGGCTAGCAATGAAAAAAAATAAAACCAAGCAAAAGAGAGTAGAATTATGGCGATGAATGATTCCCCTCTTCTTATTGATTCATATTCATACGACGTCAACAGTGATATCAGTATCTTATCAAACTATCCTTATAAACATTTTCTCAAGGATCCTCTGCAGAATGGGTCACTATTCTAGGTCTACTGGATCAGTGGTTCTCAAACTTTTTCGCCCCCACCGCACCCCCTAAAAAATTTTAAGATGTCTTCGCACCCCTACAACAATAGTTTATTTTTAAAAAATGAAACGCGACCGAAAGAATTGTTTTAAAAATATTGTTTACTTTATACGGTGTAAATTACGCGCGTGTATACGTTGAACTTCATCCTCACCTACTTTAATGTATAAAAAATGAAACCTTATCTCTCAGTCCCTTCCACCCCACCTCCTTCGCACCCTGTGGGGGTGCATGCACCCCCGGATAAGAAACCCTATACAAGACCGATGGTTCTCATAGGGGAAATTACTCACTTGTGGGTAATTTGGGGCATCAGGAGGGTGCTTGAAGGGGTGGGGAAAATAACATTTGGTGGAATTGTTTGTTATGATGAAATGCCATTGTTTTTTTATTCACAGGGGAATTTAAACGCGACTCGCTCATGGCAGCACTCTTTATTCATTTTTTGAGTATTTTTAGCTCGTCTAGGCCTGAACAAAAGTCAGTTTGAAGTAGTCACAAGTATTTTAATATATTGGCTGACATCGTCTGTCATGAGCAGTAACAGGAATTGATGGACCTCTTTGGTGCGGTAGAAAAGAACATTGGTATGATGCGAGGAGAGCGAGTATTTTATTACTATTATTTGGTTGCACTGAAGAGTTTTGGTAAGTTTTTCAATGACTGCATATAACGGGATTTTTGCTTAGTAAATTAATTTTTTTGAACGAAGTAACTGCTCAATCATGTCATAGTTATCTGACTTATGACAAATGTGCGCCATCTGGTCATTGCACTTTGAATTCCACATTGAAAGTTATTTTTCATAATTGCGAATGAGATATCCTTTATCCTGATTGTTGCTGTTGCGGTATGTTGCTGTTTTCAACCGTTCTCCAAGACTGCATTGGTTAACATTTCAGAGTGAAAAAACAGTCATGAATTCAAAAAAGCGGGGGTGCGATGAATCATATTTGCAGCTTGAGTTTATATAATATGGTTTATTGACTGTTTGAAGGTCTTCATGAGTGAGTTGGACAGCTGGATAAGGAATGCAACGATAAACAATTTCACAATTTTCGAATGACTCTCAGTAGTTCTGGATGCTAAAAGTAAGGCGGACTGTTACCAGAAACACAAAAAAATTCTGTCAATACTTGTTTCATTCCATAAGATTAATTTCTTTTGCGCCATTGAGGGATTTCCCGACCGGTTTTCCATTTGCTTCTGACGTTATGCGTGGAAATGGTAAGTTCCTGTGGCGGGAAGAGGATGGAGAGGAGGGGAGGGGTAATGAAGGCATACCAGGCCATCGAGTAGGGTAATGGAGCATTCAAGCGTTAGAACCACTGCACTGGACCGTCGCGTAAACAATCTCCTGTCGATCAAACTATTAATATTCTCATTAATTTATTCTAATATTCTAAATTCCTTGATGACTCACCAGCCGTAACATGCCCTAATTGTAAGAAGGCGTATTCATCCACTTCTTCGATATCATCATCACACACATTTATTTGACCTGGTACATTATTATTTGACCGCATAAATTTTGTTTTCTTACAGTTTAGTCTTCAGCCAACTGCTTCGCTTTGAATGGTGAGCTTAGCTAGCATGGCCTGCCATAACCACTCGAAGGAAGGCAAAGGATAGCTCAAAGGTAGAGCATTCTTACGCCAACCGATAATTAGTACGTCGCGAGTTCTATTCCCGCTCGCAGGAGGAAGTTTTGTTCAAAACCGGGTGGTGTCGTCAAAAGACTCAAATGTTGATATAAAGGTGTTATTAACTAGCAAAACGTATCCAATTACATTTAACATAGAAGTATGGATATTTTGTTGTAATTCATAACTTCGGCTGATCTTACGAACGAATCTGTCTAGCGATGAAGTTTTCGGCCCAAATTACTCACATGAGTCGGATTCGACCGATGTCTGAAATCAACACAGAAAGACGATCCAGAATTCATTAAGAAGTCAAGCTTTAAAAAATTGCAATTTTTTTACGCGGTGTCATCAATAGTGATGACATCTGAACAAAATTTCGATTCAGTCGGAATAGCACTGAACCAACTTTTCAACATTCTGAATCTCCAAATTCTTCGGTCGAAATCTGATCGAAAATCTTCGGAATCCATTGAAATTCAATAATTTTTCGGAATTGTAGTTTTGTGAGCATCCTGTGGATGCAAATTCGTGAGGATTACAATGAATAACTTGGTTGAATTATCTTTATTGCGATCTGTTTCTTCAAATTTTATATTTCAAACATAAAGATCACAGTTTTCAAAACAATTTACATTCGCCGTTATTCGAGCACATCGAATATTTCAACATTTTTAGACACATCGAGCAACACAACTCATGACAGGAAAAAGAAGTGCTGACAGATTCTGAATGTCATTTAGACAGAAGCATGGAACGTGCTCCATAATTAAAGTATATCAACAGATGTCATATGTCAACTGAATCGCTGAAAGATTTGAATATAAAACCATTCGGTAAGCCCAAAAAATCGCAACTTTGTAAATCTCAACTTCTTCTTCCCGGACGAATACAACGATTGAAAGATTACATTAATTTTCTAGATTGAAAACAATGACAGAGTTGCACGTAACTGCTAACTTATAAATATTCGACGAATTACTTGAAAAATACAAATCCTTTGTGAAGGACAAAAATCAACGAAGGCACTGCAATTACAAATATGCTTACAATCTTTAATATAATTCGTCGTTAGTGTGGTGAATCACGCAGGCAATATAAGTGAAATAGGAAGGGCAGCAGATATGCACAACACCACAACACAAGACTCATGCTCATTCAAAAACCACTAAATTGCTCTGTCTCACTTCGTACACGTCGTGCCACCATCAACACGTGATATCAGCAATATTTTTTAGCTGAAACGAACACCTCACTTCGACATCACAAACTTCGAGAATCATCCACACTGAACTCACAATCAGTAATATTTATAATGAGCTCGATGACTTAACTGAATGCAGTCGGTTAGTTTTCAAAGCTTTTTACATACATTATAAGCAAATACACTGACAACATGAACTGTGAAGGCAACATAAAACAAGCACTGATCGACAGGAAATGCTTCCAAAGAAGATCTGTACACAATAATCACTACTATTGAATTTATCAACAATCAATCAATTTTGACTCCAGTATCTTGTCGTGTTAATGAACAAAAACAACACCTTCAACATGCAAAAACTAAAAAGCCATTTTTGTAACAGTCCAATTCAGATGATATAGATCAAACTCCTTGAGAACTTGGTGTAGTGTTTCACGATCATCAACGTATCTCTTGTAATCAATAGTGTTACTCTGCACCGAATAGCGTCACTCTTGTGAACAACAGTATTGCCCGATTTCTCAAGCAGAAATAAATATTTGCAAGGATCGTGAGAACATGGCATCACTACTGAGTGTACCAATTAGCAAACAAATGAAAACGAAACGGTTGAGTAGACACTGCTGAATAAAATTCATCCAAAAATTGATCCTCGATTCGTAAATAGTTCGATGTAATGCGATAGCTTTTTAAAGTAGCCCATAGAATGTAACTTAATACTTGAATTAAATCCATTTTCGACAGGGACAACTAACTCACCTTCCTATCCCTTTGAACATACGTTTCTTCCATTCAAGGAAAGCTTCAGCTCAATACAACGCTTTACTAACAATAAGTCATCCAGAACACAACAATACCTTTATAGAACGGAACATAATCAACTGTATCGAAAATTTCACATCGTTACCAGTTCTCCATTTTATCATTTCCACTAACACGATGTTATTCTGAATTCATTTTCTCTTCATCCGATCATGGAGCTCTTTCAGTTCCAATAAAAGTACAAAAAGAACACCCAAATTCGCTTTGAAAAAGCTAGGTGATGTTAAGCACTGCATATGTAAAGCGAAATATGTAAAGTCGAGAGTGTAGCTTGCAAGAGTTAGACTATCGGTTACAGGAGTGATATTGTTAACTGAAGAAGTGACACTGATAATCGTGAAACATTACATAATAAAATTAAACGAGTGAGGGCGAAAACAATGTTACTATGAAGGAAGATGAGCACAATTAAGAAAATGCAAGGAATTAAGTTAAGGTTTTTCAAAGTGAATTAGTAGTTGAGCTTTCAAAGCATATCAGTAATCATTGAATTTGATTTTAAATTATATACACATACATAGAAACTAGTAGAATGAACGTGCGAAAGCACCAACTGAAGGTTAGACGAGCGAATAAGTTCAAAGCCTGATTGCGGCAGAGGTGAACTTAAGAGGAGTCAAGAAATCCTCTTGTGAATCAGAAGTGAGCAGAGGTGAGGTAGAACGTTGAGGTGTGATAGCACCGACAGTCATTGAAACGACAGCAGATGGGCAAGAGATGTGCTTGGGAGTGTTGCACACTGAAGTAGAGGTGGTCGAGGATGAGCACGGCGCATTATTGGCAGCAACCGACAGTGGGCACGGTGATGAGCAAGAGCGCACAATCGCGTTCTGAAAGCTGATAGCTGATAGGAGAGAAAAGGAAAGCCCTCCACCGAATCAATCAACTCTTTTAATCAAATTAACGACAATTCTCATATCTGCTCGTCCAATCATGCTTGAAGTTGTTTTCTTTTATTACTACCCTCTACCTCCATTTTTTTTGAATAACATTCATCAGCACGACATAGAAGAACAAAAAAGTTAAATAAACACGTACGTCCTCATAGCTGATTTCAAAACTGAAATACTATCCGTTCATGTTCGAGCTGATTACAAGATCCCTTTTATGAACACAACACTGAATAACTGTAGGCATATAAGAATGGAAAATAATGGCGAACAAAAAGCAAAAATGAGATAGGCAGTAGCACGAAACTGAAATACTGCTAAGTAGATATAACAATTAATGAAAAATGCAAACATAAGCAATGTGGGAAAAGAAAGTGCATAGAAAATCACTGGCAAAAGGACGTAGATAAGTTTAATGTGATAAAACATCTCTAATCGAGCTGATAAATCAGTTAAGGTGAAACAATTTAAAAAGAACTCAACAATGTGTTAAAAATGAAAACTTTTTAGAACTATTACAATTTAAAGTCAATTAACGTTAGCTCCTTTGCTTTGGTTTTTCACCCCTTTTACCAGCATTATTATGAATAGAAATGAGAGAATTGTATACAGAAACATATTCGATCAACAGATATTACAACATGATTGCAAAGTGCGGAATAATAAGCAAACAGAATCAACCGACAGATAATTAGATCTACACTCTGGATGCAGCAAAAGAAAGGCATTCTAATTAAAGATCGAGCTAAAAAGGAACACATTCTGTACCCGTTTCCTTGATACATTGCCAAGCTGATCAACCCAACGAAAACCCTCACGATCGTAACAGTGTGAATGATAATAACAACAATAATAAATGGAATTCGAAGAAATAATGAGTTTTCATCACTAGAAAATTCATTCCCGAACTATAGACCCGATGCAGGAAATCAGATGATTTAGCTGCATCACTGTCATCACACTCCATTACTATGAACAATGAAGATTAATGGAAAACTGAGCTAACTATCAAACTCGGGTAATCTCCAGAAAGCATTCGACAGCATTTCAACTTAATCCGCTCAAGTCAAGCTAAAGTGTGAGCTCAGTTCTAAACTCAGACGAGGATGAAAAGCAACCGGACACTTCGCACAGGTTGCCTCATTTTGCGATAAGCGATTAAGAACTACGAGATCGAGTGACTTTTCAAGAAGCATTTGGGAACTACGGTGAGGGGATGAATAATCATTGCGCATAAACTGTGAAAACGGAAGAGGAAATGCATACAGCTTGCAGAAACTGAAATGAGGATTGAGTTCGAATAGTTACAATTGCCGATCGAATGAACACTAGATACCAATCACGCTCCTCTCTCACCCATAATGCCTCTTCATTATTCTATCACTAACTTTCATCATTTAAAATACAACACTTTCTATTTGATACACTGCGAAACTTTAATTAATAGCAAACAAGACGAGATAGACTGTAGACTATTAGGCGAGGGACTTGGATTCAGTGATGCTAGAAAAAAATGCATGAAGAGATTACGCTTTGATTGGCGAGCATAGAATACATTCATCATTATTTGCAAACAGAAAAACGTAACTTCTAACAATGTTTAGAAAGATTCGAGTTTATTTTTGAGAACTTTAATGTTTTTTTTTAAATTTATTAACAACAGGTTCAAAAAATTGTACAACTTGTTGTTTGCGTTGAAATGATTTTGGATGATAGTAAAATCATAAACAATATAACATCATTTGTTGTGCTGAAGAAGAAATTGATAATGACATGAAATAAGAAGCACTGTTTGAGTAACTTAATCCGCAAGGATGAGTTAGAAATGAAAATTAGCACGGGCGAAGCATGCTGCTTTTAGTACTGTTCTTCACCTCATTCTCCTCTTTGATAGTTGACAACGAATCACGATAGCAGTACTCGCAATCAGTTTCTTTTTTGGCACTACCATTCACCTAAATATGATAATCTGTCAATTATGCACGTGCTCATTCGAATAATAAAAAAACGAATACACATTATAATTCATACTTGCATTTCAACGAACGCACCACTCACTCGGTTACGAAACCCCTCATCTTCAGCAGCACTGTCCTCCGTTCGAGATAGATATGAGTTATTGTTATTCAACGGTGGGGGTACTGGTAAATAGTTCATTCCATTCACCGGTCGAATCTGAAAAGCACAACAATAATCACCATTCATCATCTTAAAAAGCTTCATTATTTTAAAAGAATGAAATAATTACCTCAATGTTAATCTGTACATATTATTTTAAAAAAAGAATACGCGATGGAACTGATAAAAACGAATAGCAAATTGGTTAAGATTTGTTTACCTCACAAGGTGGTCCAATTAGTGATAACAGCACCGGTAGAAGCGCTAACCCGTTGATAAGCCCAATAATGATAAGAGCTGACATCACTATGAAGAAATATTTCACGACGAATTCGAACTCCGAAAACGCTAACATTATGATTCCTGTAACAAACAGATATACTTTTCAATGATACTCAGCTCTGAGATGTTGATCCTACTTAGTTTAGAAAAGGAACAAATTTACGTTATGCATTAGAGGCTTTTAACGGGAATACAGCCATGATGATGATTCGGATGCGGGTTTGTCGCAATGAAGTTCTTTTTTTATGAATAAAATCGAATCGAAACTAGGCATAGACATATTAAACCATAAAGAGCGTCACGAACCAAGTAACGTTGAAAGACCACCGTGAATGACAGGCACGAACATGTGGTCCATGCACGCAGCCATACGCTCGTTCTTGGTACCAAGCGATGTCAAGAACGCTAATACGACGTGGGCTGTGAATTCAACGCCTGAAATAAATAATTCAATAAGCAACAAATGCAGTTATATTTGCTAGCAGTTATATATAGACGAAGGGAAATGAAAGACTGAAAATGCTGAATGACCAAGAAATAACTGATTGAGTGCTCAATTCAAAATCAAGTTGACACTGCTTTGAATATGTGGGCACTGAAGTGATGCACGCACGGCAAATAAGATGCTAACTTACCGATGCCGACAGCAGTAATCAGAGTGACTGCACTAACGGGATTGAGTTTCACTCCAGCAATACCCATGAAACCAGCCAATTCCAAAGTCATCGAAACAACGACCACCATCACCATCAAGGCAGCCCATGGATTGAAGATCAGAATTGAGATCACCACAAACACTGACGCTGCGATCGTGCAAATCGCCAGAAAGAGATGCCAACTAAAAGATTTTGACGTCAATATACACATCTCATTCTGCTGCATGCAACCGGCAGATCTTAACTGCACATACTCTTTCTCTCGGAGTTTTGAATTAGAGATGGCCATCAAAATAAAACTTCAAGATCCTATCATTAGAGCATTCAACGGGCCTATCCAACAATGAAAAACATGCAAAGATAAAAAGGTCATTTTTGGAGAATATTTGGTTGCATGTTCGGGTTCGGAATACCCGACCATACGTAAGTGGCAGAACCTTCAGACTCTGCATTTAAAAAAAGTTAAACTTGTTAGAGAGCGCAATCATACTGAAAAAACCACCTCAGATGCAAATACTGTTCCCAGAAGGTGAATGCAATGCCCATTGGGAAATTAGGCAATCCCTCTTCAGTGTATCGGTCACAAACAGACCTGATCTCCTGCAAAGGAATGTTTAGTGAAACGTTAAGGGATACAGGCACAACAACAGTGTTGATAAGCAACCAACAGTCACTACTCACCTCAATCATGCGAACAATGATCGGTGTGTCAATCAAATTAGTCAAATAGAATGGAATCTGACTGTATGCGAGGGGTGCTGCCGGAGGTACAATTTCTTCTTCCTGGAAAGTGCACTAATCAATAATTGAAACGAATTCGACTGGTACCTGTCAATTGAATTAACAAAAGTACCTTTGTTAATGCCCACGCAGGCGGGTTTGGATAGAACGATGCTTGTGAGACATAATACATCATATTGTCGACATTATACCAACCAGTTAAATAATTGTAGAATCCATCTGCATTTATTCGACCACTATCATCAACAAGACGAATCTTTCCTATCTTCAATGAAATGTTGTTTGTTAAACGTGCAATTACAACATGTATGGAGAGATTATGAGCGCCTTTCATACAAAAACTGAATCATTCAATCGAATGCTACTTTCTGGGACACAAATTTTGGAATTTTTCAAACAAAGCAAAAAGAGAGTACCCTTCCAGTACAGTTGTAGACGTTTCCATACGAACAAACCAATCGATGCGCTATTTTCGCTTCGTCACTCAATTTTTGTGCATTCAGGATATGCCCAGTTTGGATGTCTATTTTACTCTCATTTATTGCCTTATCCAAATGTTCTTGTAATGATCGCAGCCATGTTCTCAACAAAGATAGCCAATATTCTTCACTTGGACGTCCGTCCACTTTGATCACAAAATCGGACTTCGCTGAAAAACAATATGAACGCTGAAAATCGCGAATAACTCGTACAAAATTACTCACGTTTCAACTGCTCAAAATTCACAACTAAGCTACTTATCGTTTGATTGATATAACAGCGTTCAACATTTAATAATAATCGCTTAATGCAAACCAAATAAAAGTAACAAACATACCTATATCGAATCTGTATTGTTCGATCATTTCTTGTTTGTTTGCATAATCAATATTCGGTCCTTTCAGTACCGCAAACATGGGATAGAAGCTGAAATATCGTTCTCGTGCTCTCAGAAAAGCAGCTGGTGCTGTACCCTCCGGTAGCACATCGGACAACTCAAGACCGAGTGCTGATTGATACAAACCGACACAGCCGAAGACGAACATCGAAGAGCATATGACGAGTATCATTGCCTATAAACATGACTCAATTAAAAAAACGAGGTGCTCATTTGAAAATTACCGGCCAAATCAGCAAAAGTATTCGCAGAAACATTCGGTTAAATAAAGTAACAGCAACAACAAACGAAAATGCAACACGAATTATGAATGATAAAAAACCTTTGTCGAGCTGAGTTTGAGGAATGGAATGTAATAGTTGTGAAGGAATCCTTGCAAGGTATACCACTTAGCTTCGCTTTTTTGGTTGTCGTTCGAGTGTTTTGAAGCAGTCGAATGATGAATAATCGGGGGTGGTGGCTGAGGATAACCATGTGAAGGCATGCTTGTCTCGGCGATAACACACTTTCGATCAATCTCCATACTCTCGGCTCCTAACTGTAACAAGTAAACATTGCTCACTTACCATAAAAAGTTTGTAGCAGGAACAGCAAAACGGTCTCTATCTGACTTATGCTAAGAAAACAATATCTTTGCTACCTTTTTCTTTTCGGATGCACTGCCCATACAGCAACAACCCATATCTCTCCTACCAGACTTACGACGTCTCAAATCGATGGTGATAAATGCTGGATAAATGACCATGATAGCGACCAAATTGAAAGATAACAATATCGCAGACTGAAATTTAGATGCAATGAATGATATTTGAGAAGAACATCAAAAACATCAGTTCATTAATTGACGAAAAATACCTGCGAGCAGAAGGATCTTAAAGCTGGAATGGGTAAAAGGGTACCAGCCATGAATGCAATTATATTATTTGTAGATGTGATCACAATGCTCATACCGGTTTCTTTCATCAGAATTCCTGTAAACTTTATTTGATCCTCTTCAAACACTCAAATACGATGCCGCAATCGAATTTTTTCTATTTCTACCCGCACATTACGTCTATAATTCGAATCAAAGTGCGATGGATCTCTTAATGAGCCGTTAAAATGCACTTAACCCTTGAAAAGTTATCTGCAACTCGTCGAACACAACATGATTGAAAAAAACGCATACCAATTTCCTTTTCTTTCACTGTATGAACGAGATCATTGTAATTATGTAATAAAAGAAACATATCATCCACTCCTAAGCCAAGTGTAAGAAATGGTACGATCTGAAAATAAGCAACTTTGCATCCGTTACTTTCGTTTATTAGATTCTCTAGTGCTTCTAAAAGTGTTTCTTGCTTATGTTCAGTTCGCAAACAAATTCATCTTGGAGCATCACTGACAGTTTTTGAAATATTCTGCGTTACAATTTGCGGTACCGAAATACATCAGTGATCTCAGAAGTCAGTAAACTTTTAGCAGCTGCCATCACCGTCCTATAGAATAAAAATTTCCATCGAATTTATATCTTCAACTCCAATTTGAGACCTAAGTTTTTTTGCAATTCCCTCTTAAGATTCCTGAAGAACCAAACCAAATTTTGACACTCTCGTTTTCAAGAAGCAGCTTGAGCTACAAAACTGGTTTTGCACAGTTGGCATAACTATTTGCGTTGCATAACAGCAACTGTCCAAACAGTGAAATGACGAAATCTCTTAGAATGGTAGCAATGAATAACATTGAAATCAAATCAGAGAAGTAAGCATAGATCGATGGATAAGCAATCAAATATGATACAGTAGCAGAAGAGCATCAAAAATGAAAAGCTATCATATGAAGTAACCTGTGTGGTAGCAGCGTTGAATTCGATGCCAAACCACGTGGACAGTCCAAGCCCAGAAACACTAGCATACGTAACGAGCAGCACACCCAGAATGCCTAACCCAACACATGAGTCTACGGCTAACCAATAACCATCCCACTTCAACTGCGACCATCCAGCATAAATGAACTGAAACCAATTAGTGTTAGTTGGCTGTGACACACCCCTCTACTTACAATTAATTCTCTTTTGAATAAATTCATTATTCGAAGACACCTAGCTAATCATTATAATAAACGCTTCTTTCTTATTAAACACTAAGTTCAAAAAGTTATGAATGAATCATCCCTATACAGATGCACAAATAATACATGAAAATGTAACAAACAACTCACCATCAAGAAATATCCAACGAATATGATGAAAAATTTGAACTGACTGAATTCTTCGAGCATATCTGCAATTGAGGTAGAAGCTAGCGGATGAACCTGTCTCACATTTCGTTCCTGGAATGCAAATCATACATGAAAACAAACGACCCCAAATATTATCGAACAGAACCACACAATCTAACCTGATTATTCCATGGATGATCGTAAAGCTTTTTTGTGAAGTTGCGTTGCCATGCCGTAACGATTTGATGTGCCATAAACGGATTCCATGCTCTGGTATCGAGATTCGGCTTCAGTTCTGGTTTAGCATCCTTCAACGTTTTATTCTATTTCAAACTAATTTCACTGGGTTATCAATCAATCGCATATTTAAGAATATCAAATTAGATATTATTTCTCAAACATTAAATAAATAATCAACTCCAATTACTCAACCTATTATGAATTTACCTTGAAACGCAAATAGACATCATGACCGGATGAAACCAAGAAAACACTCTGGAATGCTTCCGCGCTGAGCAGCTTATGATTCTGTCGTTTGATACCTCCAATGATCAAATCCTCAGGCCAATTCATTGTTTTCTTTGCGAATCCCTTACAGCCACCGGTCATTACTTGTCCATAATCTGGATAGACGGGCATTTCCTTCTGAAACAATACTCATCAGCAACCCGATTCTAACTAGTATCAGCAATGTCCAAACCTCTCAAAATAACAACTTCCGGCAGAAAATGAGCAGTTTAAATTGTAGTTCATATCAGACCTGATATATACACTTCGAAGTGAGGTATGAAATGTGTTTCGAAACGAGTAAATACAACAAGTTCATCGGAGAGATTCTACTCTTGAAAAGACAAAAGATAACTGATTTCGAACCTCAGTCAAGAATTCGCCCCATCTTTTTTCGTTTTCATTCATCCATCGCATGAAACTTTTGCCATATACATCACATGTATTATCCTTCGGCTCTTCCTTTTGTTCTATACAAATAAATCAAAATTAATGATAAAAACGGAAAAGATTCAATAAGCAAATGGTAATATTCCATTAAAACAAAGTTGTATATGACTGAAGATGCAAACTCAGATTATTAAAGAATGCAGTTGGCCTTGCCGTGATATAATTTCAACGAACAGCAAACGTAATTCTAAACGCACGTTTCGTTCCATTCAAGAACGCAGCATAATCGCTATCGTCCTCGTATGCATAATAATCATACACTTCTGTGTCGTTGTTCTTCTTCTCAACGTCCCTCTTCTTCCTTCCTGAAATGCTTCATGCTTCACTTTATCAAAAATGAAGCATCCGTTGAATAACAAGTTGATGTTGATCAGCGTTCAGTTGCCACTCAACGAACAACTGCTTTCACTAACGTCACATACTCAATAAACGAACCAAACAACTGCGAAATAACCGCCGAGCCATCATTTGATGGAGTTGATGCGACTTCTGTCTTCACTTCAGCATCCAGATGTATTTGCTCATCCATCGCCCTCGCGCCATTCCACGCCAAGAACTTGGCCAGTGCAGCACAACGATCAAATGCATTCGGTGCACTCGCTGGACATTCCACATCCAGTGGGTCTATACACCAACGGTCCAAATAGGCTGCACCTATACCTGCCTTAAATTATATTTTATAATTTTAGAGAGTAAAGAACAATTGTTTTATAATGATCAAAATTTCCGAATAAAATTCATTTTATTCAGACAATAACTCACTCGCTCGAAGAAATTGCCTATGGTTCCAAGATCGAACAGTACACCCACTTCATTCAATACAGATGATGGATTTAAATTCTTCCATGTTACATTCCCTTTCGGAAGGGAACTGATGAAGCCCTGTACATCGGGACTGAAAATAACACATTTCGATTAGCATTCGTCCACAACTAGAATAAAATATCATTCATTTTATTAATAATAATCGCATCATCCATTCATCCCAACTTCGCACCATCCCAAATACAGCGACAACTACCGACTGCTCCATTTCAAGAACGATGAACTGAGGTAATTATGCAATGTTGGCTGTGAATTCAGCAATAACACTGAACAATTAAGATTAACATCCAGTATACGACTATCCTTCACAATTCAAAACCCACTGAAACAGGATTAAAACTGACCTGATCTAATGGTAGATCAAAACTTTTAGCAAAAAATTTAAGGGTAATTATGCAGTTCGCGTTGCTAATTTCTTAATCACTGTCAGCGATTATGAATGCAGCAAGCTGAACTACATAATTACCCACAGAATCCAGACGACTACAATAAATTGAATGATGAACACAAATCCATCGCATTAATTCTCCTTAAACTGATCTAATGCCAGATCAAAATGTTTGGCAAGGAACTGATCAAACAGTAACTGTCTATCACCAGATATATACCACTCGAAAAACTTCACGATTACGTTTAGCAACTAAAAAGTGACCGAAATTGCAACAAGTAATGTAAACTGAACGATTACAGAAAACGATTTGACGATAATGAAAGGAAGTAAGAAAATAACCCTAAATTCAGCGGTGGTGATGGACCGAGAGGTTTGGAACCTTCCCAGAAGCAATCAATAGGTGTAATCCATATGCATGGGATGATGCGATCGAGTAGCGTTGATAACAGAGCGGTTAACGGTCCTTTCGGGAACGTTGGAGCAGGTGGCTTGAAGCAAATGTCCGCTAACGTCCAGTTCCTTTAACACAGAAATAGATGCACACCATCCTTCTAACACACACTGTGTGAAAACAAAAACATAACGCAGTTTATATCAATTTGCATTTTATTTCAAATGCTCACTTCAACTAAGTAATGATTATTCATAGGATTATTATGTAAGCCGTTTGTGTTCAGCACGAGCAGTCCTTATCACAAAGCATATCATCCAAAAACTTACTCGCCGTACATCTCGACACTGAACCTAGAGATTTGTTTCATGAGTTCGACGTGCTTAAGTAACGCGTCTTTAGTGAGAACATTCATTCCAACTTCTTCGGGTGTTTGGATAACGACCTGAAGTAATTATCTTGTGAACAAACTCATTTCGCCTGCAGACAAATTAAAATTGGTAATCTTTTTCGCATCTGTGCACGACATTTGCAAACAGCATGAACTACAATCGACAAATTAAGCTGTTAAATAAGAACTTGATTATACATACGTATCCTTGAAAATTTTGAAATTATTCACCACTAACCTGAAATCCTCCACCGAGCCCATTTTCCTTAGGTAAATCTGGATCTTTTGGAGCTGCAACGGAATTAGTGATTATTGATAGAGATGATGTTGCATAATTAAATGCAAGAATGCAACAGCCTACCATCATCGGATGTACGTGTACCTTTGTGAAGAACACTCGCTGGATGAATCGAAAGTGGAAAGAAAACAAAAAAATGATTTTGGATCATTGAAACAACTCAAAAACAGAAACACTGATGCATTTAATCGAAATATTAGGTCATGAATAAAAATTAACCAAACATTAAAAAGACTGACCATACGAATGGTTGTTGGCTAAACGTGTTGTTCGGATAGCCACTTGTTGTGCTTGCTGCTGAATTCTAGACAGGAAATGTAACTCTTCATCTAGACGACCTCCTTCTGAAATGATCAACCTCTCGCATTCCTTGAACAATCTGATTATAAGTGTGCAGATTGCTTATGATTGTAAATATGAGTAAGAAGAATGAACAGAAAGGAAACGTACGTGATACCCATAATTTAACGATATCCGTTTCGATATGAACATTTTGTAACCCGAATGTACAAGTCAAATAAACACCGATGCCTATAAGAATTACTGTCCACGCCCAGCATTGTACAAATGATCCGAGATGATAAAGAAGAGATTGCAAAAATGAGCGCGCATATAATGCGATTCGATTACCCGTCGCCATACCCTAAATATGATACTGTCATTATTTTTAGTGAAGAACAACATCCGGAAGGAAGGAATTAGTGATGTGATGACTTGAAGTGACTCTAAAGTTGGTTTGCAGAAAGATTACTCGGTTGATTTGCTGCAAAGCCATATCTGCATCGCACCATGTCGGACGAGATGAAAAATTTTGACGCCATTTCTCAGAATAGTTCGCTGAATTTGATGACTTCTTACCCACCAACAACTTGTCCAATACCTAAAATGCAATGTTCATGTTCACAGGAAAATGATTCACATCGAAATTTAATGCATAAAACTGCAATGCTTTAGCCTCACTTAGACAAACCTTTACCGCTTTAACAAGTTTTATTTCGAGCGACTCATATAATACTCGGATTTTACGTTAACTCTTTTCTCCTCCTCAAAGTTTCAGTCAATAAATGAGCCTTATTCTGTTGATCGATAATGCATAAAAAACTGCATAAAAACTATCGACAAAACTTGTTCTAGTTGAACTACGTCTTTCACATTGCTCTTTATTATCAGCTGCACACATCTGTATGGCAATCGTAGAATTAAATCAAACACAACTTCAAAGTAACTTAATTGATCAATTCCATGAAATATTCACACATTTTCAACCTAAGTGAGATTCAAAAAATCATAACAACACCCGTTTCATTAAATTTTATCCATTTTTACTTGTGTTTATGTAGATAAAATGAACACAATAGACCTGTACAAACGTCTCTATTAAAACAATCTGCACACCGTAAATAGATAAGTCGAGTGTCTACGATGCATTTGTGCTTGCCACTGCACCTGCTGGTGATGCTCGGATTGTTCATCAAAATGCTCATCGTCATGTGAAATGAGCATTGCGTCTGACGAACTTGCATGCATGGCATTATTCGGACAAAAATGATACGACTGTGAATGAGGTGTTTTTAAAAGTAGACGAGCCATAGAGTTTGATGATTGAGGTGCAACGAACGTTTATTGAATGAAACAGTAAATAGTCATCATTGCAGTAATACAGATCATGATCAGTGATGTAGTTGATGAGGTTGAATGAGACAATTCAAAAATACAACTCGATAACGGAACAGATATCTGTTGTTTTGTTAATAGAATTAATTTATATCAGATGCTTGAACAGTCGTACACTTTCAACACAACAGCGCAGCACACGAACTCATTCCAAATACACGAATCCTCAAACTTAATGCAACTATTCAGCTCAGCTGCTACTTCTTATCAAGTGATACCAGAACTGTGTCAGTTCCTAGACGAAAACGTCTTAACAAATAATGAATATCCATTTTCAAAGAGATAAACGATTTCCTTCTTGACGTAATCAAACAGAGCGCTAAAATTTTAGCGCTTAATTTGAATAGAGTAGCTAAAAACCAATGTGCAAAAGAAGAAGTCGGAAATTGTACGGACAAATCAAAATGCAGAGGTATCTTTTGCCTGATCCGGTAGAATCTAGACTCATGCTCACTCTCAGATTAACCTATTTAGGATGAGACTTATTGTAACAGTGCTGAGTCTTCTACATAAACTATACAATAATATATTTCTGAACAGAAGTTTAATGCATATTGCTTGTTGATCAGATGCCCTGGTTATTGAACTTCAAGGTTTTAGATCCCGATTCCTTCTGAAAGTGTGATGAGTTCTGATGGTCTACCTTCCTCTAAACAATGTTTGGTGGTTTGCATGGTACATATTTTCAACACAATACCCTCCAATTCTCTTTCAAAGAATGCAATCACATTAACGATATAAGGCTCGCCCCGTAGGTTGATTCCACCTCGGATAAGGTTGAAGCTAAAACCTGGGCTCGGGTAGAAGCTCATCTCGGAGGTGAAGTTAAACCCGAGCTTGACCTGAAGCATACCGCAAAGGGAACTCTTTCACATCAATTAATCCGTCAGATTTGCATACCATTAAACGTAGTGTGACTGATGAGTTTTCTACCTCATTTGTAACATGAATCTTGCATGTTTCCGCAAAAAGCAAACATCTGTTGATATGGGTTTGCGTCTTAGTAAAGATACTACTTGTTAGGTTTACAAGGGAATGCTACACCCTTAAATGAACTATGATAAGCATACTTCGCATTGAGACCCTGCAGAAATCAACCGGATGCAATCTAGTCTCATTTGCTTGGATTGGGCTCACAATCAGTATTTGGCTTATGCTGACGAGACAAATAAAGGTGGGCTAAATTGATCCGGGCGATTTTTACAATCTGTGGCGGTGTCTTGTTAAACATTAGAACGGATTAATATGCTGAATTTTTGATAACACTCTAGAAATGGATAATGAAGCAAATGAATTTCGGTAGTGAATAAGTGCATCATCCGTAAGAAAATTTTTAATGATATCATTTTTGATGCTGACAAAATCACCTACTTGATAAACGAGAAACATCAACACTAATGGGAATGCAAGACAGACTTAATTTCGTTTACGATTATTGACTTTTAAGTGAACTCCATTAGCTGACCAGTTATAGTGGCCGAGGATTGGATGATATTGGCACTAAAATGCGTTGAGATTGAGTATTCGGACGAGAAAGGAGGCAGCAGTTAATTGACGCACTGAAAACGATCCTTAGATTTAAGTTTGGAAAAATTCCGGGATCTCGGGATTTGATAAAACAGGTCAATTTGTGTGAATTTTGATAGTATGCTCATCTTGAAGCAAGCCTTAATCATTCCCATCTTATTCATATGCAGTCATCTTTGTTGTTTGCCTTCTGTCGTTGATGAATAGCTAAGGAAATAGACGCAAATTGGACGAATGACATGATCAACGACAGCTCGATGAACTTTTACGTAAAATTTCATTGGATATTCAACTGATTATTCTGTTCTTCATTGCTTTATATCACGCTCATCTGGATGCATTTCTAAGTAGACTAACAGAGATAATCACATTTTCTAATAAGAACCAAGAGCAACAAAGTTCAACGAAATTTTGAGTCGTTTCCTCCCACAAGATTTGTTCGGCTTCAATATTCCATCTGTTAATTCAACTGCATGTTCTATAGACTGCAATTCTTTTTACTTCGCTATTTGGAAATATTTTGATCCGATCGAAATGTACATAAATTCTCACTGAGTTCACTCACAGTGAGAATTAATTGTTGAAGTGAGCAAAACCGTTCCATTCAAAAGGATTTTAAGCTTGAATATTAAGTACATATCCATGATTTCTGATCGAAATTATCAAATATGTAAGTGCTCGATGGTTCGATGAAAATCCATTGCGGATGTTTTTCTCACTTTTTAGATAAACTCTGAACTTTTAAATTTTTCAAAATTCAAATGATATAATTTATGCGATGCATTTCTTTCGTAAAAAATCGAAATTTTCGAAACTGCAGAATTCAGGTGACGTTAATTCTGAGAGAAAATGGACTTGAAAGATTGCAAATAAGTGTTTGAGAATATTTCATATTCACATGCAATTGTACTGTTATTAGCTCAGACCCGAGATGACAAGATGCCTTAGCATAGAAAATGCAGTATACCCTTGCGGCATGATCATTAGCATCATTATATGAAATATTAATTTGAACTTGAATCATTTGGTTTCATGGATTTGTTCAATGATTTGTTGAATTAAATCCTTTCTGATTAATAATGAACATACTGATTCGAAAAAATGTGTTTAAATATATCCCGCATCGATATTTCAAAAACAGTTTGATCCCGGGATTGAAAAAACGTCGGGATTTTGCAAACCCTAGATGTGATTGTCTGTGGCCACATCTTCATCTCGAACGAAATGAACATTGATGAAAAGAAGAAAAGAGACGAACCCTGAAAATGGCATTTTTGTGTGGACGAATTGATGTTGAAGAAGATCCTTCAGTGTGGACTTTCATAATGTAAACCGAAGACTCGAACCAATGAAAGTATCGAGTCAGCTCGGGTCAAGTTCAGTTGACAGCCTTGATTTGATACCACCCGAATGCTAGGCTACTCAACCAATTTCAATTCTTTTGCACGTCTTCTCTTCACCTGTAAATTTTTGACTATTTCCGATCTATTCACCCAATCACGCAAAGACGGAGCTCATATATATATATA